TCAAAGGAAAATCTGTTATTTACTGTGGGCAAAAATTAACTTCCCAGGCATCACAGATAAGTTATATGTAAAACACAAGTTATCTTTGCAAAGTAATTTCTTGATTCCTGGTTAATATCACAAAGTAGATAAAGATTAACAACAGACCACTAGGGTAATTGTTATCTTCCCTTAATTTGAAACCAGTGACCTTTAAATTATTCATCTAGCTAGATCATTTTGATTTTTACTTTGGAATACACTTTTTTACTTTCAATTAACATGGGTATCTCAGAAATCTAAGAATTTACTTACAGCTCTATCAGAGACAAAGGGCAACCCATAATGTCCAACCCTGTGATGCGTCCCACATTGGGAACTGAAAGTATGTTTTAGGCCAAAATCAAGACTTTAAAAAATAGATAGGAGTTTTTATCTTTTTTTTTTTACACTTTTACACATTGTTTGACCCCTTTTTTTATTGTTTATTCATTTATTCATATGTGCATACATTGTTTGGGGCATCTCTCCCCCCTGCTCCCCTCTCTCTCCCGTACCCCCCTCACTTCCAGGCAGAACCTGTTCTACCCTCTTCTCCAATTTTGTTAAAAAGACATAAGCGATAATAAGAAAGACATAACATTTTTGCTAGTTTGAGGTAAGGATAGGTATACAGAAAGATTCCTAGCATTGCTTCCATGCACATGTGTATTACAACCCAAATTGGTTCATCTCTACCAGACCTCTTCACTGCTTCCCAGTCCCCTTCCCATAGTGGCCTCTGTCAGTTTAAGATTACTTTATTCACTCCTCTACAGTGGGCACATCAACCACATTCAAGTTTTAGGTTTCCTTTCCTTCCCTATTCCTCCTGTATGCATTCTCCCCTTAGTGTGTGACCCATGTCCAATAATATTACTGCATTTGTTTTAGGTGTTTGACCCCTTTTTTATTGTTAAAACCAACAAATATAAGTAGCTTTAATTTTCTCAGTAATGAAGTATTCCTATTTGGAAAACAAAAGAAGTACACTTTTTCACGGAGGAGGACTAGGTTGAATAATAGAGTTTAGAGAGTTTCTCTGAGACACAAAGTATATTTTAAAGAATGTACAGATATACTTTGTTCTTTCTTTGAAAGAACCAGGCAGTAACAAAACATCAGCACAGCAATATAGTATATGAGCTAGCCTTTAGGCATTCAATATGGATAATTTGAATAAGAACTATTTTCTAAATTATGTGAAAAAAACTAAAATGAACAGCAATTTCAGCAACTAATGGAGAATAAAACAGGGATGCTCAAAATTTTAAAAATATTTTTGAAAAATAATTAAGAATTTATTTTTCTTTCTGAAATAAAGGAATGTCTGCTTTTATAACCAAAACTAATTACAAAGGTACTAAATGTATAAATGTTAAGTGAAAAAAAATTTCACATGAAGTATTTAATATTTTTTAATGTTAGATGTAGGTTAAGATAATCTTAGTCAAAGGACAGTCAGAGCCAACTCTTAGGCAGTAGTTTATAGAGATAATAATATCTTGGGATTATCCAGTACTTCTAGCTATTCACTATTTTCAAATAAACAAGATTAGAAAGGTATAACTTAATGGATTTATAATTCTTTATAGGTAAGAAAGGGCTGAAAGACTTGTGTATTAATGCTGAAACTCTTAACTATGTTCTGACTGATAATGTCAGCAAAGGCTATGAGATTCTTTCAATACTGTCTTGAAGTACCAGCTGAGAAGATACTGGCTAGGCCCTATACTATATTTGTGTAACTCTGTGTAGAAATCTGTAATGCATTTCTTCTGTAAGGAATCTGAACATGATGATTCTTGAGGCTATACCTCGGTTTTTTAATTCTTAAAAAAAACAAACATTCTGATTTTCTTGTTTAAAAAATTGTTTTCATTTTAATGATCTGAGTTAGTAACAAACAAATATACAAAATTGTCATTCACATTTCCATACATGGTATTATGGACCAATTGAAAACTCTGGACTACAAATGCAGGTTTCTTTGTATCCTTAATTTCAATTACTATCACTTATAAATAAACATGATTTGCAAAAAACATGCATTTGTGAACACAGATGTCAAAACTTGTATATTAAGTAAATGCACAACCAATAGTACACTGTTCATTTGTGCAGTTGTGTGTCAAGTGTAACTAACACAGAAGCAGCTATCTGGGCTATTTCTATCTGAAAAGTATTTTTGTGAAACAGATGGAAATACAGCTTTAAACAAAAATTGTACTTTACAAATACAATAAAATTTTTAACTTATACATCGGAAACAACTTTTCAGAAAGCTGCTTCAGTAATCCTGATGCTGTATTGGATTTATGGATGTATCTTCAAAGACATGGGCTGGAATATAGGTACGTTAAAGAAAATAAATATGTATATTAAGAGAAAACAATAGTTTAAAAATGTGAAGCTTTGAAAATGGTTCTAATGCATGAATCTATTTTCAAGTTTCAGAAATTCAGAATTTTAAAAGTAATCTGAAAATTTTCTAAACCATTTTAATACATGGTTTTCTTCCATCTTACCAATATTTCCTATTTGTAAAGATCACAAGAAAATGGGCAGTTCCTAGTTCAACTTACTGTATTACTGTAATAATTCATAAAGCGTAAATTTATGACTTCATAATGGGACAAATAAGTAGAAAATAAGATATAATGAAAATGGCAAGGAGAGCCTTCTCCAGCCATTCATCTGAATGAGATGAATACCAGCACAAATGACTTTTTTACGTTAAATTATTTCCAGATCTCTATAGGTAGGAAAATCCAATCTTCCTTAAAAATATTTTCCTAGGTTGTGGCAACATGTGCTTTACTTCTTTAACTCTATCTACAACCTAAAGATATTCCTATATTATAAATTTCAAAATCCCTGGCAAGGAATGTATATGCTAACCAACTAGGCATTTATTTAACTTCATACCAAGAGAGGACATGTATGTGGCTGTCATAGTCTCATATTTCTCTAAGGCCTGAAGTTGATGTTTTCCTATGCACAATGGAACAAATGAGAAGATGATGCAAGAAACAACAGTCTCTTTGAGACAGGGCTATAGGACTTGGTCTCCTGTATTATGAAAACACATGTTTTTCTAACTAACACAACTACAACTATAAACATCTTGAGGGCAACTGCCATTCAAAAGGAAATGGGTTCTTTTCTATGGCAAACAAGATGAAACATCTTTGTTTTCCATTGGGTTTATTCAAAATCTACTTCAAGGGTTACCTAAATGCAAGGTGGTTTTTAAAAATATTTAAAGCACTCATGATTCAGGAAAGAAAGCTGGGAGAGTAATGTAAGGATGTATAGGTACAACACTACATCAGGAAATGTAGCTTTGGAAATGAAAGAAACCAATTCTGTCCAGAGTCATTGTATCAGAGAAAAATGGCTGCTTCCTGCTTTTTTCTACTTGCAAAATTAATTTTATGATTTTCCCACTTCTCATATTCTCTGCACTCTCTCATATTCTCAGGAGTTAGGCAAAATAAATCTTATAGGTTACTTTTGTTTTCAAAAATAAGTTTAAAAAAAACTTTCAGCAGTGGAACATTTGACCCTTGAGAGTAACTTCCATTCTTGAGTTCCTTGTCTAATGACAGGTACAAGTATTAAGGATTATTGCTTTTAATAAAATACCCATCAGAAATAAATGTATAAGCTTAATTCAAATACTTGTTTTTCACCCAATGCTACAATATTTTATTCTAAAATCAAGTGACATGTTAACTTTAATTCTTTGCCAGTTTACTGAAATTTTAAGTATAAGACGTTGTTGGCCTGTTAACTCAAAATCAAGACAACAGAAATATGCACATAGGTATGTCTTATTTGGGCATTGAACAATAATGTTTTCTTAATAGGACTTAAGGCACTAAATGGTGGTAAAATAAACAAAAGTATGATGATTAACAATTTCTTTAGAATCCTAAAAAAGCAGATAGCTTAGAATGACACTAGTAAATCTTTTTCACAAACAAATAAGGCATCCTGTTGGCAAACACAAATAAAACACAAGGTCATGTTGAACCTAATACATTCACTGTCTCAGCTAAACTACTTGAAATGCTAGCTCTTAAACTTAAGAAAGCTACAATAATGTGTAAAAAGGTTGAAAAGGCACCAAAAGGAGAACTCCACTTCCAGTTTTAAGTGAGGGAAGCTGTGTGAAACACTGCATATTATCTATTTACCAGTTTTATTCTCCAAGATATAGCATGTACTTAAGATTTTTCTTTGACAGGTTGGCTTAATCAAGTGCTGGTTTAGTAAAAAATTTATTTTATAATTACAAAATTGCCATGCAGTGTCTAACACAGCCCCATTTATAAAGCTAAACCAATAATTCTAGCACTGAATGCATGTTCTGGATAACACTGGAGCAAATCTCTATGAACAAAAATGGTTACCTTAAGATAGAATTCACAATAAAATTCAACATAAGACTAAACAGGATTTACTGAAAACAATGAAGTATATCACAGATACAGAGGACAAAATTATAACCGCAACATTTTCCTTATGAAAAATACAACTATTAGTAAAATAAAATGTACAATTGAAATTTTCCCAAAGGAAAAAACACAGTATAAAGGAAAATACTTTTCTTTGAGATAGGGAAAATAGTATGTCACTGTTTTTTTCATCACAATATAATTTGACACAAAAAGCAGTCATAGAATTGCACCAATTCCACATCCAGTTTCCTGAACATGTTAGAAGGAGTCCGTAAAGCAGAATGCAGTTTCTGAACTTTATGTTTTAAACTGATGATATTCTCATACAGGATGTCACATCATCTCAGATCTGTTTACATAATGTACAATACTTTCGGTTTTGTGGCCAGACACGAATACAAATGTATGCTTTCTGCCACCTCTTTCATTCTGACATTTAGCCAGAATCAGAAAAAAAAAAAAAAATCAAGTTATTTAAGTGTTATTACTCTAGCAATAAAGATTATATTAGTGCATGCTTCATCATTTGTCAAAAAACATTTCTGAAAATAAAACTCAGTTACCCAATGGTTTATGAAATAGAAAAATCATTCATCAGAATAAAAATGTGGTGGGATTAAGTTTCTAAGGACTGATGTCATGGTAGCACCACTCTCCTTAGCAGAGGTACTTGTGAAAGTGTTTGCTGGAAGTGGGCATTCCTGCAGGAGACATGTGATTGATTATCTGTGACCACCCCCTCTGCCATTTCATTAGTGCTATAAAAAAGGGGAATTTTTGTGTACATGTTAGGAACATTTCTGCTGTACGTGATTTAGAAGTTCTCCAAATTTTTCAAATAGGTCCTCCACCCATTTTACATTTTTCATACAAAGTTGAACAATTTCCTCCTGTCCTAAATCTTCATTTTTTTTCTGCACAGAAGAAATCTAAAATAAAGAAAATTGTCACATTAGTTTATACATATCACTTTATACTTAAGCCTTCACAAGGCCTTACTTTTTCTTGATCTTGATTGAAAGGATTTATTAATTCAAACTACATATACAGACTTTTTCCCCCCTTATTCCCACCCATAATTATTTCAGATGAATCTGGGTAAGGTCTACTCCTGTTCTCATCCCCTTGTTCTAGGAAAGCTAGAACAAGTGCCTTAAACTTTCTAAACTCTTTCCTGTGTGTTAAAACTAAATGACAAATACAGATGTTAACACTGCATCTCGGAGCACTGTAAAACACCAACATAGTTGGCATCATCATCTTCGCATTCTTCTTTGCTAGAAAAGTTAGATTTGTGAACATCTTTCCATCTCAGACTATTGTCTAACACATTCAAGAAAAACCTGGGCTAACTTAACCTCTTATAACTAAAAAAACTGTTAGTGCTGGTCAAATAGGTAGTAGTAATAACAGTTTACTCTTGAGGAATTAATCCTTATATCCCACATATAAGGTGCTCCTATTGTGATAAATAATCTGTGTAACTAAAAGTTTATAATATTTAACTAAGTTGTAGTAATACTTTAATTAAGTTGCAATTAAAATGTAGATTTCATTTTTTATCCCAAGGTACAAAACCCCATTTCCCTGGGATAAGGTCATTTTAGTGATAAGGGAGGCAGGAAGATATCAAGCCAGTGACCGAAATGAATTAAAGCAGATCATTCTAGACAATGAAACAACAAAATGCAATAAAGCACCATTGACCTTGGTAATGTAAAGCAAGCACTAACAGTTTAAAAACATCGCCAGTTACAGTTATAGCTCAAGAGGTGGTAAGGCTCTGAAAAATTTGAGCACAAAACAGCACAGAAACTCAAATCTAGTCAATACAGAATACAAGCAAAGTACACATTTTACAATTCATTTTAAAGCAGTCACAAATACTATGACATTTAACATACTTAACTAGAGTCTCTTCAAACTTCAGAAAAACAAACGTCCCTTTTTTAAATAAAAGAAAAAGAAATTACCTCATCCTTACATATCAGATAAACATGGTATTTATAATGATGGAGTGAATGATACAAAGAATACAACTGTATTTTCTCTGGATCAACAGCAAACTCCTATAAAAAGAAAAACATTTATAGATATTTTCCCTGAAACATCAAGCTAAGAATACTTCTGGGGAAATACTAGATTAAAATTCTCAGGAATGGTCTTGTGGAGTGGCCCAAGTGCTAAGAGTGCCTGTGAGGCCCTGAGTTCAAACCCCAGTGCAGCCAGAAAAAAGCCAAAAACCTCTTATGGCAATCTTGATAATGACCTACATGGTTAGGTCTTAGGTTGTATTAATATGCACAGAAGTTTATTCAAAATAAGAGCTTAAATTATATTTTAAATCATTTTTTTTGGAACTGAGGAGATGGCTCTGTGGTAGAGTGTGCGCCTAACATGCACAAGCATGCACAAGGCCCTGGGTTCAACCCCCAGCTCAACAACAACAACAAAAAAATCATTTTTTTTTCTTGACCATAAATATGCACTATTTGGAAAAATTAACCAGAAAACACATGATGACTTAAAGTAAAAGCTTTCTATAATCTTTCACTTCAGAGATAAATGAGGCTAATAGCATGTTATATATTCTTGCATGCTTTCCCCTGGGTATAGTACATATATTAATAAAACTTTTCTTTTTTGTAGTTCTGGGGTTCGAACTCAGAGTCTTGTGGTTGCTAGGCAGGCACTCTACCCCTTGAACCACCCACCAAGCCCTAGTAACACTAATTTAAAATGAAAACAGAATCATCTATGCATATTGTCCTGTAATTTGCCCCTCCACAAGTTATTTTTTAACCTAACTACAACTTGGCTATCTTTCCTTTTATGATATATATATCTATCCTTACCTACAACCACATACAAGTTATATAAGAGCATGGAATTTTGTATTTGTTTGGTGGTACTGAGGTTTGAACTCAGGGTTTCACACTTGCTCTATGACTTGATCCACTCTGTCAGCCCTTGAGGGCATGGGTTTTGACTAGTTTTCACTGTTGTATTCCTAGTTCTTAGAATTATACCTGACATAGCACTTTTTGAGAATGAATGCATCTATATCTCTTCTTTTAAAAAAGTAACCAGTATTACATTGTCTTTGTAGTTCTTTCTTTATTTGACTTCACACTGGTGGTACATAAATGACTGCCAAGCAAACTTCTTTCTTTCTCTCTCTTTTTTGTAGTTATGCAGACTGAACCCAGGCCGTTGCGCATGCTAGTCAAGTTACTACACTAGTTGAGCTACACCCTCAGCTCTCCTTGCTTTTAAAGCAATCTCACTACCGTTTTGCCCAGACTGGCCTCAAATTTAGGATTCTTCTGCCTTGGCCTCCCAAGTGACTCAAATTATAGGCAGGTGCCACCATGCCAAGCAAGGCACACATTTTTATGCATTTGTGAATGTGTTTGTATAAAATAGATTTTCGATGTGGTATTGTTATGCTGTTAAATTTTTCTGGTAGGTTATAACAATTTATAGTATATTTAAAGATGAACAAATACCATTTTAATGATTTTGCAGATATGAAATCAAATATTGAATCTTAGAATGTATGCATGCTTATTATCTGTAAAAGTGTATCCAACAACAAAATGATAAACAGGTAATGAACATGTGAGGTAGCTCACGCTAGCTATTCCATCATTTATATATTCTTCAAAATGTGTACATGATAAATATAATTTTGCTTGTCAATTACAAAGCTGTCCATGGAATAATTTCTTCCTTATTTCTGTGAGCAATTTTTATATGCCAGATACTGTGCTTGGCACAGGAGAAAAGTAATACCACGTCCTGGTCAACAGGCCAGAACTGCTTATTCCTACCCAAAAACCTTCATACTTAATGACAACATAGGAAAATATTTGTTTCAATGGAAAATTTATACTTCAATTAATCAATATTTACTTACCTGTGCAGATTTAGTGATTGATTTAGAAGTCCTTAGAGTTTTCTTATTATAAGCTTTGCCATTCATTTTGATTTTAGAAATAGCAGATCCTCCATTTTTTGTTTTAGAGTCTCGAGTAATTATTGTTAGTTCAGGAAAACTTTCCAAAGCATTCTTTAAAACAATGAAGCAAAATAAATGACATCAGAAAACTAACCTAAACTTCCAGCTAGCCAAAATTTATACACACACACATGTGTGCTTACTGATGGGATTTATTAAGGATGTGTACACACACACACACACACAGGGAGGGTAGACATGATCACAAATTCTTTACACCCTCTCCCATCAGATGTGGAATCTATTTCCCTTTGAATGTGGGCCACCCATGTGACCTGTTTAAATAACAGCATGCTATAATAAAAAAACTCCTGAGTTCTTTCTAGTAATGCCTCTCTGGCTTCAAGAGGGACATGTATGTTTCTTCAAAGTTTACCACTTAAACCATAGTTCATACCCTGAAATGAAGCCAAACCTGCTATAAAGAAGTCATCTGTTCCTAAGTGAAGATAAGGACAAGGACATCAAGAAGTACTGTAATGTTTCTCTGGCTTCAATGCTTCCCTCTTCTTGCTTCTTACGATTTTACAAAAAAGTACTTGTGACATTAAGACCCTCAAACAGAGCATGGTGAGTTTTCTGACCACTGATAATATGGTGGCCATGTGGCAGAACCAATTCTAGCCAATTCTCTAAAAGCCACTGGCATATTCATGCCCTTTCTTACTTGGCAAGCCATCCTGACATGAAAGGCTCCAAACAGTAACTGAGTGACACTTGTAACTAAATTCAGCTGCTTTGATCACACTTTCATAAAATTACATTGAGCTGCCAGCATCATTTCTTATTCTGATACTAAAAAAGTTAAAGTCCTCCCATTTTCTTTCTGATTCAGGAAGCTGTCCATGTTTGAAAAGCTCAACTGTTAACTGTTGTAAACTTCAAAGGCCATTTCTAACAAACTTGGTTTCTAAATACTAGAATTGTGGCCCTAAAACTACATTTTTAAAGCAGGTAACTTAAAAGCCTTAGTTTAAGTGCTGTAAGGAACTAAGTGTGTTTTGGCATTTCCTACCAAAGGTGAGCTACCATCGATTTCTAGCTTCGTTCCTTCTCAGATTATTTGCTTTCATCACATACTCTGGTGCTCTGCATTTAAAATATGTTCCGCTTAAATAATTCTGGATCTAGAATTGAGAATTACAAGTAGTATGTAAAGACCAAAAATGGATTCTAAATTTGGAAACCATGGACACTAGCTCAGTGGAGATGAAAGGAGATAAATGAAGTCTTTCCAGTGAGCACAAGATACTGAAGATCTGAAGTACATGGATTTCTGAGGGAGATACAACATCACTAACTTCAGGAACCTTCAGTACTGGGGGTCAGGTGCAGTGGTACAGTGCACTTCTGTAATCCCAGCTACTCAGGAAGCACAGATTGGGAGGATCAAAATTCAAGGCCAGCTGAGGAAAAATAGTTATCAATACCCCATCTCAACCAGTAAGCTGGGTGTGGTGGGACATGCTTATAATTCCAGGTATGGAGACAGGAGGATGTCAGTCTGAGTCCACAACCAGGCAAAGATATGAGGCCCTATCCAAAAAGTAACTACAGCAAAAAGGGCCAGGGGCACAGTTCAAGTGCCTGCCTATCAAGCTTGAGATCCTGAGTTCAAATCATAATACCACAAAAAGAAAAAAAAAAAAAAGCTTCAGTACTCACTCCTAAAATCTCCACAGTCATCATGACAGATGCTGCTATTATTTCTATGGAAGAGAACATGTTTCCTAATCTATTTTACTTCAAATCATTCTAACTTTTAATACTGTGCAATTTGGCTTTGAAATACAAATTGTTATATGAAACGTCAGAATAACTTCACAAAATTAAAAATTTTGTTTCTTTTTCTGTGAAAACAGGAATATGGCTAGGCATGATGGTGCATGCCTGTAATCTCAAAATTCAGGAAGCTGAGGCAGAAGGATTGCAAATCCAAGGCCAGCCTGGGTTACACAGCAAGACCCTGTATTTCAGTTGTACACAAGATTCCAGCAGTCTTTATTTTACTGTGAGCTACTAGAGAATTGGTGACATTTCTAAAATAATCAAACAAAACTAGGTTTTGCGTGTGTGTGTGGTGCTTGGAATAGAACCCAGATCTTTACACATACTAGGCAAGCGTTTTACTACTGAGTTATATTCCCAGACAAAACTGGTATGTGTGCATGAGCACACACACTGGCCATGAACTGTCAATCCTCTTGCCTCAGCCTCCTGAGTACTAGGATAACAGGTGTATGCCATTGCCTGGCTGTAATTTTTAGCATTTAGTATGTCTTTAGAAAACCTATATCTAAGAAAATTCCCTTGTCTCCAGACAACTTAGTATTTCCCAAAAGAACATTTGAAGACAGCAGTTAAGTAGAAAACACTAGACTAGGAGCCAGGAGTACTGGGCATTTCACTAGCATATGCAAATGAATGCCAGTAAAGAATACATAACGAACAGTACAGTTTAGTGTCAATTTATTTTTGTTGACTATTCAAGGGGTTGAACTCAGTGCCTCACACTTGCTGACAGGCACTTTTCCACTTGAGCTACACCCCTAGCACTTTTTGCTTTAGTTATTTTTTGGAATAGGGTCTTGCATTTACATGCGCAAGCAGGCCTGGACCTTAATCCTGTTTGTTTCCAACATAGCAGGCATGACAGACATGTAACATCACAACCAGCTTGTTGGTTGAGATGGGATCTTGGGAGACTTTGACCAGGCTTGTCTCAAACAGCAACCCTTCCAACCTTTACCTCCCAAAGGGCTAGGACTATAGGAGTGAGCCACTATGCCTGGCTAAGTGTTAATTAACTTCAAATTCAATCTCAGAGCCTCAATTTTCACCAAGTTAAAATGAAATAAATAGTGACTTTCATGTAGAGTTCACAAAATAGGGATATGACAAAGAGACACAAATGTGTAATACTGATACATCAATTTAAAAAAGTTCCACCAAGAAAGAGAATATCAAATCCAGATGTGATGATCTTACACTCTGAATAAGAAAATCTGGAAAATACTTTTGACTAGTTCTATGAGGAATATTCTGAGCTTAGATTATCTTTTGGTTCTGTATTTCTGAAAACACCAAAATCAACTTATATTGCCAAGAAAAAACAGAAATAATTATTTATACACACACACACACACACACACACACATATATATATATATGTTTTCTAACATATGAAAATCAAATTTTCCTCAGGTATTAGGTAAATAAAATAAAGGACATTTTGATAAAATGCTAAAAAAGGCTAATTTTAATTATAAGTGAAAAATTTTTAAATCTTGAAGAAAAAAAAGCAAGATTTGAATGTGATGGTTAAAAGGCAATATTTATAGAAAATATGTGGAAATTTCTAATAGAAAGATTGTTAGATAAATATAAATGCCCAGAAACTAAAACAGAGAAAAAGGAAATGATTAACACTAAAAAGGTAAACTAAAATGACTCATAATGAACACAAAACAAATTTTTGTTAGGTGACAATTTTGTAAAGCTAAGAATGAGTTTCATAAATTTTCTTTCCTATTACATTCAGGACTATGTGTGCCACTGAGTTGTGATAATAAGTCATCTTACAGGAATACCTTGAATGACTGATCCAAATGAAGATTCAAAAGAAGTCTTTTTCGGTTATCATTTAGCATGCCATCTATTTTTTTCATATGAGGTAAAAGTAGCTCATCTGAAATAACATAATTTTTAATAGAATAAATTATCAACATAAACTCATTAAAAACCCAGTTTTTTTCAAAATATTTGCATATTACAAGACATCAATGTAACCAATGGGCAAGACGCCCAATTTCTCCAGACATCATCTACCTCATCTGCACAATAGTATTATCACAAAACAAAGTAGCCTGACATTATAAAATACTGAGTAGGACCAAGACATATTTTTTTTTCGGGAGGGGGGGCGGGGAGTGCTAGAGATTGAACCCAGGGGTCTTGTGCATGTTTGTAAAAGCACTTTTAACCATGGAGGTATATCTGCAGACTCAAAATATTTTTGATTCATTGTAATTTGAAGCAAAGAAAAAGTAGGGGAAGAAAAATAATCAAAACTCGGTGTCAAAAAATACAAGTCCAAACAGTTATTTTAGAAAAGGGGAAAGTAAAAATATGACAGACTCCTACTTGAAACTTCTTGCTTTCTTTTTTATCTCTCTGAATTAAGCTTTTAAGGAAAGTACTTTGAGTATAAGTTCATTACTTTTGGTACTTCATTAAATTCTTAAGGTTATCAGAATATTAATTTACCAGCACAGTAATATATTTTATGATGCCCTCAATGACCTTTCTGAAAATATATAGATAATCCTTGGGATCTAGGTTATAAACTTCACAGCTGAATAAAATTAATGTTCACATATTTGGAATACAAATACAAGCACAGTATCCTGGGAAAGCACAACTCCTTGAAGAAAAAGTCCTTGGTAAGGAAAACTTTCTAAAGTTGCTGTAACACATCTGCTAGTCTAATCTTATCATTCTAGTAGTGATTTGATCTGTTTTAATAAATATTACATTTACATCTCACTAAAACAAGCTTAAACATTTGCAATTTATTTTCAAATATGTCTTTTAGATTCCCTCCTTTACTTATATATAAAATAAAAAAATCAGAAAACTAAAAGCAATTTAAAAAAATCTTTCAAAATACAACCACACAAAAATAACTACTACAAAAAGATGTATATTTTATTATGTAAGGAGTTTTTGTTTGTTTTTACAGGACTGCGGTTTGAATTCAGGGCTTTGTGCGTGCAAAGCAGGCTGTCTACCATTTCAGCCACATCTCTAGTCCATTTTGCTCTGATTATGTAGGAGATCTTGTGAACTATTTGCCCAGGTTGGCCTCAAACTACAATCCTCCAAATCTCAACCTCCCAAGCACTAGAATCTGGCTACAAAGAGTTTTGATTCAGAGAGAAACCATCTGATAGCAAAAATGCTAAAGACTGTTTCTGTTTGTTTTGTAGTTCTAGAGATTCAACCCAGAGTCTTGTGTATTCTAGGCAAGTGCTCTACCACTGAGCTCCCAGTCCCATACATTGTTTTAATACTAATTGATTAGAAAATAATTCCTCTGCAATGTATATTTTACTGAAGATGCAAATAAACAATTTTAATCTTAAACTAGACAATCTGGTTCATCTTTCTAATTATTGGAAAGCAGAATATATTGACATATACTCTTTCCATGAAGCAATGAAAATATATTCAATATAAAGTTCTTCTTGTGGTTAGCAATGCATGGAAAGATACGACTGTTTTCTAGATTAAGACATTATGAACTTAACTGACAATTTGTAGGTATATATTACACAAACCACATAACCAGCAGACAAGAATAATAAAAAGTCCAAGAGAATTCTACTTAGTAGATATACCATTGCTCTTCTCTAAGGCTTGCATGGTGTCGGGATCCAGGGCGATGCTAACAAGCAGCTCCATATAACTCTTAAAAGTTTCCTTCATTGCTCTTGTGTTCAGAAATCGTGTGACAAAGGGAGCTGGAGGATCAAACTCTGGGATGGAGAAAAGATGAAACAGTCAAGTTTTCCTTCCAGACAAATTTAATAACACTTTTCTCTATAACAGGAGCTTACAAGCAAATGAAAGATTGAAGATATAATTTCTTCCAATTAAAGGCATTCTCAAAACACCCCAGGTGAGACTCTTGAAAGGTGGTCTGCACATTACAATTATTGGAGCAAGAACCAGAGCAAAAACCAGACTGCTAGACTTATTAAACCAGAATCTTTGGTAAGAGTGGTGTTGAACTTTAAACACTACACATTTAAAAAGCTTACTAGGTGTTTCTGAGACCTAACACCACCCCACCATCTGAACCTGTTTCTAGTCTCCTGGCCCACACCACACATCTGCTTCCAGGTCATGTCACTGCAGTCTTGATGGCTTCTCTATGTTTACTTAGTAAAAGAAACAATAAAATATCTAATGTATGAGTACATATATACTTATCTCTTCAGTTTTTTATTATATACTTAAAATTACTATAGAATGTCTGGGTGCTGGTTGCTTATGCCTGTAATCCTTACTACTTGGAAGGCTGAGATTGGGAGGATTGCCATTTGAGATTAGCCCAGATAAAAAAATGTTTGGAAGATCTTGTCTCAGTGAGAAAAACCTGGGCATGAGAAAGTACACCTATCAACCCAGTGACAGTTGGAAGCCTAAAATAGGAGGCTTGTGGTCCAGGCCAGCCTGGTCAAACAATGAGACCCTGTCTCCAAAAAACCACAGCAAAAAGGGCTGGAGGTATGGCTCAAGTGGTAGAGTGCCTGTGTAGCAAGCTGGATGCCCTACTTCAAACCCCAGTACTGTCCCCTCCCCCCAAAAAACTACAGAGTTCTAGTCTTGAACATATTAAAGTTTTCTTCTGTTTTTATGATTTCTTTTTGAGACAGGGTCTTGCTATAAAGCACAGCTGGCATAGAACACTCCCTCCCCTGCCTCAGCCTCCTGAGTGCTAGAATTATAGGTGTGTACCAACATGCCCAGCACATTTTAAAAAACATTAAGATACAAATTCAACAGCAAGAACTGAAAGGCTAAAAGTTTGCATCACAGAGCTAGGCTGTGGCTCAAGTGGTAGCACGCCTGCCTAGCAACTGCCAGGCCCTGAGTTTAAAGCCCAGAAATGTCCCATTTCTCCCTTGCCCCACAAAGAGCTTCAATTTTGAGATTTTTCAGGTCCTATACCAGCATTTCTTAAGAATATGGTTCATAAAGTAATTTCAGTGGTCTTTGATGTCAACACTATTTTCATCATAATATCAAGATGTTATTTATCTTTTCTAGTGTCTGGACATCGGCAAAAGTAACACTGGGTAAAATTGCTAGTTCCTTACTTAACATGATCAAACTATCCTAATAGTTATATACTTTGTCATGTTGCCACCATGCATTTGCTTGGGAGAAAAAGCTACTTTCACTTAAGAATTAGTCCTTAACAAACCAGGCCCTAGGTTCAATCTTCAGCAATTCAATAAGAAGAGAAGGAAAAAGAAGAGAGAGGAGGGAGGTGGAGAAGTAATTTCAGTAGAAGTTGTTTCAGAAGAAAAAAAGAAGTAGGAAGAAGAAGGAGGAAGGAGGAGAAAAGGAGAAAGGAGGGAAGGGAGAGAGGGGTGGAGGGAGGGACAAAGTGAAAGCCGGAGGGAGGAAGGCTGGAAGGAAGGAGAGAGTAGTAGTAGTAGTGGTGGTTCCTTAGCTGGGTGTGATGGTTCTAACACTCAGGAAGTAGAGGTGGCAGGAGGATCACAAGGCCTACATGTCAAGACCCTGTCTCAAAATACCAAAACAAAACAAATATAGTATAAATATGCAAGGGTATATGATTTAGTCATAAAAAGGAATCAGGTTCTGATACATGCTACAACAATGGATGAACTCTGAAGATATACTAACTCAAAGAAACCAGACACAAAAGGGCATATATAAGATTAAACACTGCATTTGCAAATTCATGTAAAAACAGATGAGAAGTTATCAGCTGCTGGGGAAGGGAGAATGGAGAGCTACTGCTTAATGGTTACAGCATTTGTTTGGGGTAAGAGTTTTGGAAATTGGCAGTGGTGAAGACTGAACAACAGAGTGAATGTTATTAATGCTACTGAGTTATATACTTACACTTAAAAATGATCAAAATGGCAAATTTTAAGAATAACCTTTTAAAAAATTAAATGGATTTTTGGAAGAACTTTGCCACTGAACTAATGCTAGCTAGTATTTCCACATGAACAATGAATGTTATGAAACTATGCATGGATGAAAGATACTCAAAGAACAAAACAAACTAGGAGATTTTAATATAACAGAGCATGAAAAGTTTAAAACTATAACATGTCAAGTTTGGAGTATCAAATAAAAATATCCAAAATTTTCTGAAAAGGCAATTAAAATATACTCTCTATCCATTCCCAACTACCTAACTATGTGATGATTGGCTTTCTTTATATACATTATCAAAAATAACATAGAATAACAAACTGAATGTACAGCAGATGTGAAAATGGCACCCATCTCAATATTGTTTAATTTTGGAAATAGCTATTTTAAAAGTTTTTGTTGGGTGAATTTGATCTAAGTACCTCATATGCACATATAGAAATATCACAACAAAACCCACTGGTACAATTCATTCCCACTAATAAAAAATTTATGTTACTAAGTAAGAATAAGTATAAAATAAGTAAATATTTTGCTTAACTGCTATTTTGTAAATACCAATAGATTTAACTCACATAAACGAAAATATTTGGAAACCTCAATACATCTGAAGACTATAAAGGTACTCTGAAACAAAAACTTTGAAAATCACAAGCATACAAATTTATTATAGATAGTTGATGACTCAAAAAATGCTCACTCAACTACTACTGACGCCTAGTAGCCACTCAAGTTATCAATTCAAGAAAATTTTATCTTGGCATTTGAAGAAACTGTATGTATAATTACAAATTCAGAACCCCAAACCCTCTTTACTTTAAGCAATAGACAAGACTTCTTACGGAAAACATTACATATAATACCTTCAATACCTACTGAAAGCAGGACTTTCTTATAAATTCTCACGTATACACTTATAAATAACCATTCACAAATAGCTTTTTAAAACAATACATCATTAGATTTCACCACTGAAGAATTTTTTTTTTTTATTCATATGTGCATACAAGGCTTGGGTCATTTCTCCCCCCTGCCCCCCCTCCCTTACCACCCACTCCGCCCCTTCCCTCTCCCCCCCACCCCCTCAATACCCAGCAGAAACTATTTTGCCCTTATTTCTAATTTTGTTGTACAGAGAGTATAAGCAATAATAGGAAGGAACAAGGGTTGTTGCTGGTTGAGATAAGGATAGCTATACAGGGCATTGACTCACATTAATTTCCTGTGCGTGGGTGTTACCTTCTAGGTTAATTCTTTTTGATCTACCCTTTACTCTAGTTCCTGGTCCCCTTTTCCTATTGGCCTTAGTTGCTTTTAAGGTATCTGCTTTAGTTTCTCTGCATTAAGGGCAACAAATGCTAGCTAATTTTTTAGGTGTCTTACCTATCCTCACCCCTCCCTTGTGTGCTCTCGCTTTTATCATGTGCTCAAAGTCCAATCCCATTGTTGTGTTTGCCCTTGATCTAATGTCCACATATGAGGGAGAATATACGATTTTTGGTCTTTTGAGCCAGGCTAACCTCACTCAGAATGATGATCTCCAATTCCATCCATTTACCAGCGAATGATAACATTTCGTTCTTCTTCATGGCTGCATAAAATTCCATTGTGTATAGATACCACATTTTCTTAATCCATTCGTCAGTGGTGGGGCATCTTGGCTGTTTCCATAACTTGGCTATTGTGAATAGTGCCGCAATAAACATGGGTGTGCAGGTGCCTCTGGAGTAACCTGTGTCACAGTCTTTTGGGTATATCCCCAAGAACCACTGAAGAATTTTTATAATGGTTCTATCTCTAACCAATCACTAAGATCATCTTTTTAACAATGATCCTTGTAGTTCTAAAACTTCCTGAACATCAACCTGAACCATATTCCCAACAACCAATTATTTTAATTCTAACAAGATGACACCCTGAGTTTCTCAAATCTGTCCCCTCTACTCCACCCACTACCAACTACTTAGGTTCAGATACAATTTATGCCTGAAACTATGTCTTATAATTAAAATTCAAATTTCACCATGTTGCTCCCCTCCAAGGGGATCCCAAGCTTACTTATAGGATCCCAAGCTTTTCATATTTAATATGGCATGCATGACCTTCCATCACCCCTTCATCTTTTTGTATCTTCAACTTTAGGCTCTAGCAGAATAATGGTCAGCACGCTGTAAAGAGTCATATTGTAAGTATTTTAGGTTTTGCTGGTCATATGGTGGCTGTAGAAACTACTCATAGTAGCAAAGTAACTGTTTACAAATGCATATATTTCCAAACAGTATTTGTGGAGCCAAGTTCCAATAAAGTTATTTACAAAACTAGGCTGACAGTCAGATTTGGCCTGCAGGCCAGTTTGCCAATCCCTACTCTCTGCTGAACTGCTTGAGATTTTGTGTATGCATCATACACCAAGTTTTTTGATGGCTAGAGGAATGTGTGCTGTGTATTCTTGAGTCTTACAATTATTTCAGTTTTAATTTCTAATACGGCAAATATCAACAGCTGTAACTTCAATAAATGCTCTTTAAAATCTTCAACATCTTCAACAATTTTTAAGAGTGAAAGGGGTTGCTAAGGTCAGAAAGTTTGACAACTGATGAGGTATTTCAACATTATTTTATAGAAGAGAAAACAAAGGCATCTAATTTACTCAAGGGCATGTGGTTGGCTTGTGGCAGATACATAGTAGTACGCATCTTTTTTTTTGATGGGATTGGGGTTTGAACTCAGGAATTCATACTTTCAAAGCCGGTGCTCTACAGCTTGAGCCACACCTCCAGTTTATTTTGCTGTGGTTATTTTAGAGATTGAGGTCTTGAACCTTGATCCTTTCCATATCAGTCTCTAAGTACCAAGATTACAGGTGTGACCCACTGGTGCCAGGCTAGTAGTGTACATCTTATACATATCGGAAGTATACATTACTACATACATTATTATGTAATATTAATTACAGCTTTTTGAGTTGCTGCTTTCTAGGTTTATTTCCTCTTTTCTTCTGGCATAAACACAGACTCAAGAGGTTTAGAACTAGAGTATTCATAGTAGTCATCTCACCTAACCTCCATCCTACCCAGAGAAGTGAGACCAGAACTCACAAAGTTAAGTTCTGCTTCTTCTATTTTACAAGGCTGCGTATGTGGGCCAACTGTTGTTCAACTGGTATACTGTTTTCGCAAAAGCTCAAGCAGAACTTAGAAGACAGATAAATCTCCTGAAAAATGAACCCGTTTCGACTTGCCACCACCATGCTCCCTCCATCGTGCAGTGTAGACTGCATGCAGGTATCAAGGTGCTGGTTTCATGGAGAACTCACCCTCATCATCACTACTGCTAGAATGGACTTCAGGAGATGAGTCAGATTGTGAAGATGAAAATTCTTCTTTCCATTTCTTCCGTTTCTTTGGTGGTGGCTCAGCCTTTATTTTCAACTGTTTAAGTTTGGGTTTCATGGAAGGGGCTTTTGTAGTTGCAGTTTTTGATGTTGGAGGATCAGAAGTTTTACTGCTATTACTTGGCTTAGCCTGAACAGTTCTGCAATGTTACAAACAAATTTCATTAACACACTTAAATCTTCTCAGATTAAAATAAATTAGGAAAAAAGTGATAATCACAGGAGAAGAAAAGATTATTTAAATACTCTAATAGGAAGTCCAAATTGTCAACAGTGTCAACATCCATAAAGTATTTTTGAAATATATTCATAAACCACTGACATTCAATATTCAGTTATTAAGGGGCTATTACTTCAGTCCCTATTTCTCTCTTTATTCCTCCCCTTCCTTTTTGCCTTTTGGACTCATTTTCCAGATAGTATGAGGCTTTAATATCACCAGTGGGCTTAGGAAAGTAATGTATGATAAACCCTCAATAGTCAAATCTATTTCTGTCTATGGAAACTCATGGGGTTCTTGTGGTACTAGGTGTTAATGCAGAAATTCAAATGCATTTGTCTGAGTCTCAGTCCCTGAAGACTGTCTCTATGCTGCATATAATGATTTCGGTGGATAAATTCCACCATAAAAATTAGGTGAACTAGGGCTAGGAGTGGTGGCTAACACTTGTAATTCCAGCTACTTGGGAGGCAGAGATCAGGAAGATTGTAGCTCAAGGCCAGCTTGGGTGAAAAGTTAGTGAGACCCCCATCTCAACAAATAAGCCAGGTGTGGTGGTAAGTGCCTGTGATCCCAGCTATACATGAGGCTGTAGGTAGGGGGCTTTAGGTCTAAGGCCAGCTCTAGGCAAAAATGTGAGACCCTACCTGAAAAATAACTAAAGCAAAAAAGTTGAGGATATTGCTTAAGTGGTAGACCTCTTGCCCAGCAAGCACTGAGACAGTTAATTCAAGCCTCAGTAATACCTCCCCACAAAGAATAAAAAATTAGGCCAATGTCCCAGATTCATGCTGCAGACAACCCAGGCACATTAACCTATGATGAAAAGTCTACTATACACTTTTTGAGTAATGCACAGTTCTTACAGTTTGTTTTGTTTTTACCAAAAATTATCTCATTGTAAACTTGACATTCACTTATTATTTTCATTTTCTATCTGGGAAAGAGGGCTTCAGAAATGTGTTATCTTCTATAGGCCACAAAGAGCTAGACTCAAAATATTTTGCCCTAAATTCTATTTTTTTCCACTATGTTAGAGTGACACCAAGGAGACTCAGGGAAAGAAAACAGTACTTGCCCCACCAGATGGGTTTATAGTGCCCCTCATTCTTTCAAAAGGCATCACTTACTACAACAGACACTGAACATTCAGACATGCATAGAATAAAAAAAAAAATCAGTCTCTTCAGTTGATGTAATCCTTTGTACAATGTTATTGCCAAAAATAAGAAAACCATGTATTAAAAAAATATGTAATAAGAAAACAAATACCTGATGGTCTGTGAAGGCTTATTTCTTGGCTTTTTGGAACATACTCTGACGTATTCCTTTTTGTTTGCATTTTCAATGAACTTCACATATATCCTTTTATATTTAGTCTTTGCATCTCCAAAATATCCAAGGTACTAAGGAAAGAAACATCTTGAATTACATGTTATACTATCTATATACAAATACTATTATGCTGACAACTATCACAGCCATCCTTCATGTTTACAAAAGGATGTTCAGGCTAAATTCAACCTGAATAAAAAGGGCCCCAGCATATATATATATATATATATATATATATATATATATATACACACACATTATATATATATAATATATATATATATATATACATACACACATACGCACATACACACACACACACAAATAAATATTGAAATTAAAGCAGTAACAAAGAGTCTTCCAAAGAAGAAATGAACAGAACTGGATGGGTTCATGGCAAAATTCTACCAAACATTTAAAGAAGAATGCGCCTCAAATTATCCCCCCAAAAAAGAAAAAGAGAAAACTACCAAACTCATTCTATGAAGACAGTATTATTACTTGATATCAAAACTTCATAAGGACACAACAACAAAAATACAGAGCAATTTCCCTAATGAACATAGATGAAAAAGCTCTCAAAGATGAGAGCTGCAAACTGAATCAACAACATTAAACAGATAATATATAATGATCAAGTTTGTTTCACTCCAGGAATGCAAAGATGGTTCAACATATGCAAATCAGTTAATGTAATACAGCACATATAAACAGATAAAAAACAAAAATCACATGATCATCTCAGCATATGTTAAAAAAGCCTTTGGCAAAATTCAATATCCTTTTTTTCATGATAAAAGCCTGGAAGAAATGGGATACAGGGAACATAACTCAATATAGTAAAAGCTATTTTGATAACCCTATATAGCCAATATTTTCTCAAATGGGGAAAGACTGAAACTATTTTCTCTACACTCAGAAACAAGACAAGGGTGTCCACTCGCTTCACTCAATTCTTAAAGCAATAAAGCAAGAGAAATAAAAGTGATACAAATAGAAAAAGTTAAATTATACTTATTTGCAGATGGTATGATCCTATACTTAAAAGACCCTAAAGACTCCCAACAGAAAACTCTTACATCTGATAAACACTTTCAGCAAAGTACCTTTTCATATACCAATAGTGAACATGATGAGAAACAAATCAGAAACCAAACCCATTCACAATAACCTCAAAAAGTAAAAAAATAAAACAAAATACCTAGGAACAAATGTAACTAAGGAAATGAAAGACCTCTACAATGAAAACTATAAAACACTGAAGAAAGGCATTGAAGAAGACAACAGAAGATGGAAAGACTTCCCATGTTTACAGACAGACAGAAATAATATGAAAATAGCTACACTATGAAAAGCAATATGCAATTCCCATCAAAATTTAATGACATTCTTCACAGAAATAGAAAATTCAATCCTAAAATTTACTTGGAGACCAGCAAGGTGGTTCATGCCTGTAATCCTAGCTACTCAGGATGCAGAAAGCAGGAGGATCATTGTTTGAAGTCATCCAGGCAAATAGTTCACAATGCTATCTTGAAAAATACCCCACAAAACAGGGCTGGCAGAGTGGCTCAAGTGGTAGAGTGACTGCCTAGCAAGCCTGAGACCCTGAGTTCAAGTCCCAAGACACCCCCCCACAAAAGAAAAATTCACTTGGAAACACAAAAGACCTAGATGAGATAAAGTAATCCTGAGCAAAAAGAACAATGCTAGAGGTATCACAATACCTGACTTTAAATTGCATTACAGGGCCATAGTAACAAAGACAGCATGGTATTGACACAAAAAGAGCCAGGTGGATCAAGAGCGTACAAGATTCAGAAACAAGCCCACAGAGTCCCAGTCATCTGATATATGCAAAGGTATCCAAAACCTACACTGGAGAAAAGACCATGTCTTCAACAAAGGTGTTGGGAAAAATGGATATCCACATCTAGGAGACTGAAATTAGATCCATGATCTGAAAGTTAAGACCTGAAACTGTGAAACTGCTAGAGGAAAATAGGGAAAATCCTTGTAGATACAGGTAATGCTTTTCTGCCTAGAACCCCAATTGCTCAGAAAATAAGAACGAGAATCAAAGTTGGGTGCTGGTACCCAACTCATACCTGTAATCCTAGCTATTTGGGAGGCTGAGATCCAGAGAATCAAATTTTCAGGCAAGCCCCAGCAAACAGTGTGTGAGACTCTATATCTCCAAAATAACCAGAGCAAAATGGACTGGAGGTGTGGCTCAGCAGTAGAACACCTGTTTGTGAGTGCTAAGCCCTGAGTTCAAACCCCAGACTCACCAAAAAAACAAAAAACCTGAAAAACAGGATTGCATCAAATTAAAAAGCTTCTAACAGCAAAGGAAACTACCACAATCGAAAGAAAGCCTACAGTATGGGAGAAAATCTTTGTCAATTATTCACTGGATATAGGATTAACTGTGAAAAGAACAAATACTCCATTTAGTAAATAGGCAAATGAATCAAATGGTTTTCTAAAGAAGTACAGGTGGCTAATGAATACACAACAGAATGCTCTACATCCTCAGCCACAGAGGAAACGCAAATCAAAACATCACCGAGATTCCATCTCACCCCAGTCAAAACCGCTAAGATCAACAAAACCAACAACAACAAATGCTGGCAAGGATCTGAGGGGGGAAAAGCAACCCTTAGAAGCTGTTGGTGGCAATATAAATTATCACAGCCACTTATGGAAATCAGTATGGAGGTTCCTTAAAAAAACTAAAGCTAGTTCTGCTCTACCACGTCTGGACATACATCTGAAGGAATGTAAGTCAACATAAATGAGGTACCTGTACATTCATGTTTATAGCAGCACAATTCATAATAGCAAAAATAAGGAATTGGCCTAGGTACCTATCAACTGATGAATGAATAAAGAAAATATGGTACACATACACAATGGAGTATTACTCAGCATAAAGAAGAATGAAATTATGCAGGAAAATGGATGTTAAGTGAAGTAAGCCAGACAAAGAAAGACAATTATCCTAAATTCTCTTTCATATGTGAGATATAATCTATAAAAGTGAATAACAGAAATGTAAACTAGGTCCTGTGTAGGGAAGGATATCAATGAGAATGAGGAGAGTAAAAGGAGAAGGTAAAGGGGGTGGGTGAATACAGTCAAAACCTCTTTGCACTTACATATGAAAATATAACTAATTATGAAATCTGTTGATTTTGGGGGGGGCAGGGAATAGAACTGAAGTTTGAACTCAGGACTCTGTATTAACAAAACAGAAGCTCTACTGCTTGAGTCACACCTCCAGTCCATTTTGCTCTTAGAAATGGGGTCTCTAGAACTATTTGCCTAGGCTGGCCTCAAACCAAGATTCTCCTGATCTCAGCCACTCAAGAAGCTAGGATTACAGGTGTGAGCCACCAGCCCCTGGCTTCCTTTTAAAATTTTTTAAGAAGGGGAAAGGATAAAGGGAGTGAATTTGATCGAGGTGTATTATATGCATGTGTGTGTGGAAGGATCACAATGAAACTCACTTGTACAACTGTAATATACTAATAAAAAAACCTCACAAAAAATAGAAATGTTAACAGTAGGGGAAAAAAGATCCCAGCACCTGCATACATATTTATAAATAATGCATTTTAAAAATTTACTTTCAAATTTTCTGCCACCGAGCTACACCATGAGTTCCCTGAGGCTCACTCTTGCCTACAAGCCATCCCATAATGGCACTAGAAGCAACATCATTTGCAGATTCTTAACTCACAGTGTTTAATGGCAGGGGGCCGTACTGGGGTTTGACCTTAGGCTTCATGTTTACTGGTAAGGTGCTCCACCACTTGAGCTATGCCCCTAACCCAACTCAAAGCTACTAAAAAGCTATATAATAAAAAAAAGAATAACATCAGGGCTGGGAGTGCGGCAAAAGTGCTAGAGTGCTTCCCTAGCATGTGTGGGGCCTAGGTTCAATCCCCAGTCCCATTAAAAAAAAAAAGTATCAGCCTTCTGACAAATCAGAATATTTGGTAGAATTATCAGTATAAGAACCTCTAATTCCACCTGACAGAAAAAAGTTAAGCAACAGTATCCTAAGTAGCTGGAACTTACTTGCTAATTTTATTTAAAATAATAATAAAAATAAGAGCTGAAATCAATGAAATAGAAACCAAAAAATCCATACAAAGAATTAAGTGAAACAAAAAGTTGGTTCTTTGAAAAAATAAACAAGATCGATAGACCCTGGCAAAACCTGACTAAATGAGGAGAGAAAAACCCAAATTAGTAGAATCAGGAATGCAAAAGGGGAGATAACAACAAACACATGGAAGTCCAGGAAATCATCAGAGACTTACTTTGAGAACCTATATTCAAATAAATTTGAAAATCTAAAGAAATGGACAGATTTCTAGATACATATGATCATCCAAAACTGAACCAAGAGGAATTAATCACCTGAATAGACTATAACACAAAATGAAATTGAAGCAGCAATCAAGAGTCTCCCCAAAAAGAAAAGTCCAGGACCTGATGGATTCTCTGCTGAATTCTATCAGACCTTTAAAGAAGAACTGATACCAACCCTCCTTAAACTGTTCCATGAAATAGAAAGGGAAGGAAAACTGCCAAACACATTTTATGAAGCCAGTATTACACTTATCCCAAAACCAGGCAAAGACACCTCCAAAAAGGAGAACTATAGGCCAATCTCCTTAATGAACATTGATGCAAAAATCCTCAACAAAATAATGGCAAACGAATTCAACAACACATCAAAAAGATTATTCACCACGACCAAGTAGGCTTCATCCCAGGGATGCAGGGGTGGTTCAACATACGAAAATCAATAAACGTAATAAACCACATTAACAGAAGCAAAGACAAAAACCACTTGATCATCTCAATAGATGCAGAAAAAGCCTTTGATAAGATCCAACATCATTTCATGATAAAAGCTCTAAGAAAACTAGGAATAGAAGGAAAGTTCCTCAACATTATAAAAGCTATATATGACAAACCTACAGCCAGCATTATACTTAACGGAGAAAAATGAAACCATTCCCTCTAAAATCAGGAACCAGACAAGGATGCCCAC